AGATAGATAGATAGATAGATAGATAGATAGATAGATAGATAGATAGATAGATAGATAGATAGATAGACACAGACAGATAGATAGATAGATAGATAGATAGATAGATAGATAGATAGATAGATAGATAGATAGTTTGATGGCTGGATGGATGGATAGATAGATAGATAGATTGATTGATAGATAGATAGATAGATAGTTTGATGGATGGATAGATAGATAGATAGATAGATAGATAGATAGATAGATAGATAGATAGTTTGATGGCTGGATGGATGGATAGATAGATAGATAGATTGATTGATAGATAGATAGATAGATAGTTTGATGGATGGATGGATGGATAGATAGATAGATAGATAGATAGATAGATAGATAGATAGATAGATAGATAGATAGATAGATAGATAGATAGATAGATAGATAGATAGATAGATTAAACGAAATAAAAATGACAATAAAAGGTTGTAAAAGTTTACACTGTCTGAAGGGTTACAGTAACGTGAAATAAACAAAGTTAACTTGCATACAAGCGGCGTTTATTAAACGGGTTTAAGCTAAACATTGGAGGTGTGTTATGTATTCATTTTAGGGGTATATTTACGTGTTATATGTATTTATCTAGGTTTGCGATTTTATCGGTTTTATCCTCACGTATTTTTGAGGCGAATAATATTTTTTGATCAGGCACGTTTGGGGACGCCGAATGCAGGGGTCCTAATATTGAAAACTATCAAGCGCCGTCATTTACAGATCAAACTTATGAATATTAACAGAAGCACATGAGGTAAGCCTGACATTTCATTCAAAACATAACCGTGTTCAAATGACTGACGGAAAATCTCTTTGTTTCTACCGTTTCCGTCTGTTTGCGGCTTAAACGTGTTGATATTTGACCTATGTGCGGCCTCAAACAGCTAACGGCTAATGCTAATTCAGTTAAAACATCAAATCGCTTCATAAAAATGATCGCATTTCTGATATATAAATATATATACAGTTTAAATTACACTGAGATGACAGTGACAGACAGTGTTTGTCTGGTTTATTTGGCCGGCTTTCGTTAATGCAGCCGTTGCTGATTTGTTTTTATTTGCTCGATGTGTTTGTCTCTTGTTTTGTTTGTTACTGAGAGTGTTTATTAGGTCAGAGCACGGCATACAGAGTAGGATACGTGTGTGAGTGTGTTTTGAGCCTGCGAACGGAACCGGAATGTGGCTGAATTTGAGCCTGCAGCTGCAGGTAGATCAGACATCAGAGTCTCGTGTTAATGAAGCACACACCTGAAGCTGATCACCTGAGCGGGACTGACAGGTGTGTTTCAGGAGCGGCACGTGCTGAGACCACCTGACCTGGACTACGCAGTATTTCTGCACTACATGTATGAAATAAACAAATCAAATAACCACGGCATGGCCAAAATGTGGGGTATACAACCAGAGCAGACTGAGATGATATATCCCATAATGCAGTAGTACAGTACAAGTACAGGTTATCCAGAGTGACTGACATTTATTGTTCTGTAATGTTTTGCAGTAGCAGTATGCCTGCTGAACGTAAGAAGTCCGTCAACATGGAGGAGAGAGAGATGGGCTCCTTCAGCAACAAGGACAGAGACGCAGACAGACAGGCCGCCGCATCCCGCGACAAGAGCAAAGACGAGACCAAGATGAGCGCGAAGAAGGACGGCGGCAAGACGGCGGAAGATAAGAAGAGACGGGCTGAGGAGGACAAGAGGAAGAGGGAGGAGAAGGAGCGGAAGAAGAAAGAGGAGGAGAAGCAGAGGGCAGAGGAGGAGCAGAAGAAGAAAGAGGAGGAGGAGAAGAGACAGCAGGAGGAGCAGGAGAAGAAGCTTCTGGAGGAGGAAGCCAAACGACAGAAAGAGGAAGAGGCTGCGCAGATCAAGTAAGAGGGCTGGACAATGTAGAACAAATTTCTCTGTATTTTTTCCAAAACACTTAAGGAACATTTAAGGTCATATTTATTTCAAATCAAATTTACATATTTACCAAAATTAAAATATGAAATATAAAATATGACTAAATATAAATATGAAAAATGTAAGCTTCCTACAGAAAGTTGTGATTGTTGCAACAAGAAACATAATTTTCAATACAGCATTCTGATTAAAGCTCCACGTTTTATATGTTGTTGTATTAAAAATTTTTTGTTTATATGTTTTTATGTGTTTTTTTAAAACCAGTCCAAATTGTTACTTGAAAAAATTTATTTGAACTAAAATAAAACCTTTAAAATGCAATTCATCTAGTTCCAGGAATAAAATAGGAAAATATAAAAATAAAAACAAATTTAATCAAAATGCGCGGTTTTGCTTTGCAGGGTTATTATAGTTCACTATAACTAAAGCCATAATAAACATTTTATTACTTGACATAAAATAAAGATTAACTGAAATAAAATAAAATATTTAAAAACTTCAAATTCATCTAGTTCCAAGAAAATTGCATTTTCATTTCATTTTCCTTGATGTACTAAAATAACAAAAACTACAAAATGAAATAAAAAATATTAAAGCTAAATGGACATATTGATAAAAATGACAAAAACACACGAACAATTTTGAAACTTAAAAAAAAAATTCAAATAAAAGCAGAAAAAAATTCAAATGTATTTCAGTTATTAATAAAAATATAATAGCATCTCATTGCTACTAAAATGCTTTGTAATCACAGTTTGTTTTTCGTGTCTCATCAGGGAGAAAGAGGAGGCTGAACAGCTCCAGCAGGAGGCGTGGGAGCGTCACCACGGCAGAAAGGAGCTGCGCGTGAAGAACCAGCACGCGCCGGAGACGCGTCCCGAGGAGGCCTTCTTCAGCCGCCTGGACTCCAGCCTGAAGAAGAACACGGCGTTCGTCAAGAAGCTCCGCACGCTCACGGAGCAGCAGCGCGGCTCGCTGTCGCAGGACTTCGAATCGCTCAACCTCAGCAAGTACATCGGCGAAGCCGTGAGCTCCATGGTGGAGGCCAAGCTGAAGATCTCGGACGTGGGCTGCGCCGTGCATCTCTGCTCCCTCTTCCACCAGCGCTACACTGATTTCGCACCGCATCTCCTCGCCGCCTGGAAGAGACACTTCGAGGCCAGGAAGGAGGAGAAGTCGCCCAACGTGAGCAAACTGCGGACCGACCTGCGCTTCATCGCCGAGCTCACCATCGTGGGTCTGTTCACGGATAAAGAAGGGCTGTCGCTCATCTACGAGCAGCTGAAGAACATCATCGGCGCCGACCGAGAGACGCATACTCACGTTTCCGTCATCATCAGCTTCTGCAAGCACTGCGGAGACGATATCGCCGGGCTGGTGCCGAGGAAGGTCAAGAACGCGGTGGAGAAGTTCGGCTCGTCCTTCCCTCCCTGTCAGATCATTAATGCGGAGAAACAGCAGCCTTTCCAGAACCTGCTGAGAGAATATTTCACGTCTCTCACCAAACACCTGAAGAAAGACCACCGAGAGCTGCAGAACATCGAGAGACAGAACAGGTCAGTCTGTATATAGACCCTTTTCACATTTCAAGGTTCGCAGAAGCAGAAGTCTTCCATTTACACAATGTTAATAACTGTGGAAATGTGTCTGTAAAAAGGGTCTGTTAGGGGTGGGAGTTGTTTGCAGTCTCACGATTCGATTTGATTTGATTATTGACGCCACAGAACTACCTTCTAGAGGCCATAATTTCTGGAAGTTTTTGTTCTGCATCTTTCATAGCGTTTAATGTGAGTCTCTAAGCATGTGTGCATATTCTTTTATGTCAATTTCATATATTTAATTAATGAATTCAGTAGAATAATATGACACAATCTGACTGTAAAATATATAAAAAAGTAATTTAAAAAAAAACGTATTTCAGCTAGTTGACAAGGCAGCATTTCTCATTTTGTTTAGATTATATACGAAAATAACTAAAAATTAAATAAAGAGTAAAAACATAGACATTTAAAAAAAAATAAAAATAAAATTGACAAAAACACCCAAGAAAGTTACTAAAACTTTAACTAAAATGAAAACAGAAAAATAAAAACTACTTCAAAATTTTTATGAGAAACTATAATAAAATAAAACTAATAAAAATGACCAAAACTTTCAAATTAAACTAACAGCAGAAAATATGAAAATAAAATCTAATAGAAAATATTTATAAAAGTATAATAAAATTAAACTAATAAAAATATTGAAAACACTCAACAAAATGATTAAAACTTTAACTAAAATGAAAACAGAAAATACAAATTATTCTCTATCTAATCCATTTACTTAAATCTTAATGAGTGAGTCATTGATTCGTTCAGTCCAGCTGATCCCTTCAGAAAGTCACTCCTCTTTTTGAGGAGTTATTCACTCAAGCGATTCATTCAAAAATGCAGATTCAGAAACAGTGCTGTGTGTTGCTCTGAGATGTGCTTCTGCTTCAGCTTTGGAATTATTTTCATTGATTGCATTTGAATAGTAATGATAATGTTTTGTGTCTCTGTGCAGGCGTATCCTGCACTCTAAAGGAGAGCTCAGCGAGGACAGACATAAGCAGTACGAGGAGTTCGCCACCTCCTATCAGAAGCTGCTGGCAAACACGCAAACGCTGGCCGATCTGCTGGACGAGAACATGCCTGAACTTCCTCTGGACAAAACCGTCCAGGAAGGTGCGACAGTCGGCACGACTTCATCTGTTGAGAGTTTGTCTTGGCATGCGCATGATTTGTTGTAGGGCTCAGCTGAAAAACGAAATTCAAATTTTGTACTTAAATATGATCAAAATTCGATTTATATTCGAATTTAAAAGGCATAATTTCAGTTAGGGTGAAGAAAAGCTTTTGGCTTCTCTTCTGAGGCCACAAGAGGGCGCATCGAGCAAAATATTACTAATGCACATTTATTCAAAGCATAAGATAACATGACTATTTGTGAAAAAGTGCATAATGTTTAAAATAATGTTTATAAACCAATTATAATTAATTAAGTTGCTTCATCAACTATAAACAAAACAGCATTATGTATCTATGCATAGTTTAATACAAAGGGCGGAAAGCCAATCACACAGAGTACATTTTTCATTTAAAAACATGAGATGCAGTGGGATGGGGGAAAAAAAACCCCGCCATAAAGTCTCGATATATGTTAAATTGCATGAATTTTACACGGCTTTCTAAACATTTTTGTGCGAGACGCGAGTGCAACAGTAATAGATGTCCGTCTAGAAAATGTGCAAAAAATGTTTTCTGTGTGAACGGCTTGGTTTCAGTTTTGATGTCAACAAGATCTCCTCTGCATTGATGTTCTCTTTTTCCGCTATATTTTTTTTTCATTTAAAAACATGAGATGCAGTGGGATGGGGGGAAAAAAACCCCGCCATAAAGTCTCGATATATGTTAAATTGCATGAATTTTACACGGCTTTCTAAACATTTTTGTGCGAGACGCGAGTGCAACAGTAATAGATGTCCGTCTAGAAAATGTGCAAAAAATGTTTTCTGTGTGAACGGCTTGGTTTCAGTTTTGATGTCAACAAGATCTCCTCTGCATTGATGTTCTCTTTTTCCGCAATATTTTTAATGAACAACGCAGCAGCGCCGCATCTAGTGGCTTCAACCGGACAGGCTAACAAAAACATTATAATGCAACGACTCTTTCATCGTCATCGCATCTCGTGCGCCACTGATGAGGCTTCCTGACGCACACCTAAAATTAGAATGCAACGTTTTTGCACGAATATTCGAAATTAAATTTTTTTTTTGACAGCCCTGATTTGTTGTTGATTTGTGTGACAGAACACGGTCCTGGCATCGATATCTTTACGCCGGGGAAACCGGGAGAGTACGATCTGGACGGAGGGATCTGGGAGGACGAGGATGCGCGTAACTTCTACGAGAACATGGTGGATCTGAAGGCGTTTGTACCTGCTATCCTCTTCAAATCCTCTGCATTGATGTTCTCTTTTTCCGCAATATTTTTAATGAACAACGCAGCAGCGCCGCATCTAGTGGCTTCAACCGGACAGGCTAACAAAAACATTATAATGCAACGACTCTTTCATCGTCATCGCATCTCGTGCGCCACTGATGAGGCTTCCTGACGCACACCTAAAATTAGAATGCAACGTTTTTGCACGAATATTCGAAATTAAATTTTTTTTTTGACAGCCCTGATTTGTTGTTGATTTGTGTGACAGAACACGGTCCTGGCATCGATATCTTTACGCCGGGGAAACCGGGAGAGTACGATCTGGACGGAGGGATCTGGGAGGACGAGGACGCGCGTAACTTCTACGAGAACATGGTGGATCTGAAGGCGTTTGTACCTGCTATCCTCTTCAAGGACAACGAGAAGAGCAGCCAGACCAGCAAAGGTACTGAATGCTTTCACTAATACTTATATACTGTCATAGTATTTATTCATATTTAGAATTAGCCTACATTTGTCCTTTTTAGTAATTGTTAGTAATTTCCTTTTTAATAGTTTGGGGTTACTATTTAGCCTTTATTTAATTTCAGTTGTAGTAATGTTAGTACCAGTGTTGTTTTAGTATCATTGAGTTATAGATTATAGTTTTTATTAATATTATAAATCAGTTTTTATTCGTACATTTTCTGTTTTACATTTACATTTTAATTTTAGTTAGTAATTTTCACAAATTTTATTTTTTTATATTTTGAATTTTAGAGTTTATTTTTACATTTTCTGTTTTTATTTTCATTCTAGTAAAATCTAGTATTTTGTTGGGTGGTTTCGTCATTTTTAGTAGTTTGTTTATATAGTTTTTTTTAAGTAAGTGAAGCATTATGTGCTCTTTGTTGTTTGTGTGCAGAAGCACGAGAGGGAAACAGCACTGAGGAGTTGGAGATGGAGTTGGAAGCGCTGGACATCACTGATGAGCCGATAGATCTGGACGCAGCCGACGAGACTGAAAGTGAAGAACTGGCCAAAAAGTTACTGGATGAGCAAGGTAAACTTGCTTCCTCAATGAAACACACTGATCAATGCACCTCCAAAACCTCCAGAGAGCACTGAAGGGGAAGTGCAGGATCTTTCCAGCAGCCCGACTTTATCTGTATTTAGCTTTTTTTCCTCCTGTAATTTTTTATATGTGCAGATTCATTATCATAAGTCAGTGTTTGAATTGTCATATCATTTGTTTGTGTGTGTGTGTGTGTGTACAGAGCAGGAGGATGAGGAGGCCAGCACCGGCTCTCATCTCAAACTCATCGTGGATGCTTTCATCCAGCAGCTCCCAAACTGCATCAACAGAGACCTGATTGACAAGGTAACGAGTTAAAACACACAGACACACACAGGTTTGTTTTTGTGAATTGTGGGGACTCTCCATAGGCGTAATGGTTTTTATACTGTACACACTGTATGTTCTGTTGCCCTACACCAACCCTACCCCTAAACCTACCCCTCACAGGAAACTTTGTGCATTTTTACTTTCTCAAAAAAACTCACTCTGTATGATTTATAAGCATTTTGAAATATGGGGACATGGGGCAATGTCCTCATAAATCACCTTCTCCTTGTAATACCTTCATACCCATTTCATTAACAAATTTGTGTCCTCATATGTCACAAAAATGCACACACACTTCAAAATAAAACTTCTTCAAATTTAATTTTTATTCTAATTTTTTCATTGAATACTTTTATTTTATTTCATGTTTAGATTTTAAGTTTTTATTTTTGTATGTTTTTAAAGCTTTACATTAAATACTTTTATTTTGTTAGTTTTTTTCAGATTTCATTTTAGTTGTAATACTTTTATTGTGTTTTTATCATTTTATTAGGTTATTAATATTTCTATTTATCTTTATTTTTTTCAGTTCTATTATTAAGTTTAGGATTTTCATTGAACACATATTTTTTGTTAATGTTTTCATTTTATTTTAGTCATTTTGTTATGCTTTTATCATTATGATTGTTGAAAATACTTTTTAAAAGGTATATTCAATTAAATAAATTTATATTTTTATATTATTTCAGCTTTATTTCAATTACCTAAAACCTTTTTTTTTTTTTTTATCACATTGGGTTGATGGGTTGTAATGCCTGTTTTGTGTTCAAACGTGTTCCTGTGTGTTTTCAGGCTGCTATGGACTTCTGTATGAACATGAACACCAAGTCCAATCGCAGGAAGTTGGTTCGAGCTCTTTTCACGGTGCCCAGACAGAGGTGTGTGTGTGTGTGTGTGTGTGTTTACAGCATCTGTAGATGTGAACACTAGATGGAGCCAGGGCTCTTGAGTTTTCAGTCATTTGATCTCATCAGGTGTTCATTCAGATGGGTTAAATGGCTGTGCATTAATAATTTTACATCTGTGTGTGTCAGACTGGATCTGTTGCCGTTCTACGCTCGTCTGGTGGCCACTCTGCACCCGTGTATGTCTGACGTGGCTGAAGACCTCTGCTCAATGCTCAAAGGAGATTTCAGATTTCATGTGAGTGTGTTTCTCATTAGCTAAAGGCTATCAAATGAGGTATTTTAGTACCAAAACAAACTATTTTAGAATCAGGATGCCCTAAAATGCTGTCTGGGTCTGCAAGTCACCAGAAACCAGTTTCACACAAATAACACATGAAAGTGACTGGATCTGTTGCCGTTCTACGCTCGTCTGGTGGCCACTCTGCACCCGTGTATGTCTGACGTGGCTGAAGACCTCTGCTCAATGCTCAAAGGAGATTTCAGATTTCATGTGAGTGTGTTTCTCATTAGCTAAAGGCTATCAAATGAGGTATTTAGTACCAAAACAAACTATTTTAGAATCAGGATGCCCTAAAATGCTGTCTGGGTCTGCAAGTCACCAGAAAACAGTTTCACACAAATAACACATGAAAGTGAGTGTGTGTGTGTGTGTGTGTGTGTGTGTGTGTGTGTTTCTTACATAACAGATTAAAAAATGATATATGTATTTCTTATTTTAACTTGAAATACTGAAATAGCTAAAAAAAAATTCTATAGACATAAAAAATAAAAATAATAATAAAAATGACTTAAAAGAAATTAAAATAAAGATGCAAACAGAAAATATTCAAATGAAAATATATTCAAAATATTAACAAATATTATAGTATCTCAATGATACTAAAATTACATTGGAATGAACTGATAAAAATAAATATGTTTAACTTGAAGTACTAAAATAACAAACTAAAACTGAATAAAAACACAACAAAATTACTAAAACTTTAACTAAAATTTAAATTGTAACAAAATATAAAAATACCCTAAATATTAATAAAAACTATAATAGTGTCTCAATGATGCTAAAATTACGCTGGAACTAACTGATACATAAAATCATTTTAAATTGAAGTGCTAAAAGTACTAGGACTAAAACTGAAATAAAAAGATATTAAACCTATTTTAAAAAAACTAATAAAATGAAAAATATACATCAAATGAATGCAACTGTTTTTACTAAAAATTTTAATGAACTGAAAATATAAAAAACTTTATATTATAAATTTGTAATGTAATAATAGCATATTAGTAATACTAAAATAACACAGGTTCAGTAGCATTTTAGCTTTGCTGTGATATTAAAGTTCATGTGCTGATAACATTGACTGCTGAAACTTTTGTGTCATCATATCCTCAATACAGACATTTATTCCAGCATCTCTAACGCTCTGTGTGTGTGTGTGTGTGTGTGTGTGTGTGTGTGTGTGTGTGTTTGTGCAGATGCTGCTGTCTGATTTCTCTCACCATCATATCGAGATGGCCTGCACACTGCTGGAGACGTGTGGACGCTTTCTCTTCCGCTCACCGGAATCTCACCTGCGCACGAGCGTCTTACTGGTCCGTCTTCACACAAACAGACACACAAGCATGCAAACCTGCAGCCGCCCTCTTCATGCTGTTGATCATGTGTGTGTTCACAGGAGCAAATGATGCGTAAGAAACAGGCTCAGCATCTGGATGTGCGTTACGTGACGATGGTGGAGAACGCCTATTACTACTGCAACCCTCCGCCGATGGAGAAGACGGTGCGCAGGAAGAGGCCGCCGCTGCAGGAGTACATCCGCAAACTCCTCTACAAAGACCTGTCCAAGGTCACCACTGAGAAGGTGCGTCACCTATGCGGTGGACGCAGGGGTACCGCATTTATTTTGTGGCCCACATCATGCTAAATATGAACATATTCATATTTCATACACATATTCATTTGTGGCCAAAAGAAGCGTGAACATTAGGCAGTGTGATTGTAATTTTGCGTCAATTTTGTCACTCCTGACATTTAGCAGTGTGTATGTGGTCATTGTCCTATTAGTAGCTTGAAAATAAAACTTAAAGTTATTAAAATTGTGAATGAGTTATATACAGAAAGCAACTTTTATAATCACTGAAGCTGTCAAACACTTCAGTTCAGCGCTGTATAAATACAGTATATGTATATATGTATGTAATGTTTTTTAGAAAATACATAAATATACAATTATATTAATAATATATAAAATTATTATATTTTGTAAAGTTATAGTACTGGTCTACATATTATATAAACAATATTTAAAATACAAAAATACTGCAATAACTAATATATTATGAACAATTATTGTTCATATAAATACTTTAAAAACACATTAAAAACATGAATATATTATAAAAAATATCTTAAAATGTACATTTTATTATATATTATTATAAAAGTATATATTGTTTAATAATTGTGTGTGTGTGTAGTAAAGTATAAATACAATGAAAAATTATAATATATAACATAACAATATATATATATATATTTATTTATTTATTTATTATTATTTATTTATTGATAAAATGCACATCATTTAAATTAATTAATGTTTGTATTATATTTATTTTAGGCTGTTCCCAATCTACAAAGACACAAAAAAACAAGCAGAATGCTGGAGGAGTGCATTGAGCTTTTACTTGTGTGTAAAATCAGTTTTGTTGTCTGTAGGTGTTGAGGCAGATGAGGAAGCTGTCCTGGCACGACCCTGATGTGAAGAGTTACCTGATCTGCTGTATGATCAACATCTGGAACGTCAAGTACAACAGCATCCACTGCGTGGCCAATCTGCTGGCAGGACTGGTGGCGTATCAGGAGGACGTGGGCATTCATGTGGTGGACGGCCTGCTGGAAGACATCCGCCTCGGCATGGAGGTGTGTGTGAGTGAGTGTGAGTGAGTGTGAGTGAGTGTGAGTGAGTGTGTAAACATATTAAAGTTATATATTATAATTATTATATTATAATACTAGATTGTATAAACGTGTTTTTGTAAAAAATTTCATATTTTAAAAAATAATACCGTGACCGCGAATTACTTTTCTTCAATCTGAATTATTTATTTTTTTCAATAGATTGTTTTTTTTTTTAAATCAATCATTTACATTCACATTCCTATGAAGCAATGTCTGTATCATAACTTGCCTCCCAAAAATAATTATATTATATAATTATATTTGCATAATGAAATTGAAGCCTATTTTTAGGTACATGTAATAATTTGTTTTGCATTGTGGCATTATTATTATGGCAATTAAACACATTAAGTAAATGCATTAACTCTTAATCACACAAATCTATCACTGTTAATCATATATGATTTGGTGCTCAAATATGATTATTATTGGTGCTCAGTTATTAACAATGGTTCTTATTATCAATGTTAAGGTTTTTGCTGCTTCATATTTTTGTGGAAACCGTGATATATTTTATTTTTCAGGATTCTTTGATAAATGTAAAGTTCAAAAGAAGAGCACTTATTTGACATAATGTTTTTGCAACATTATAAATGTCTTTTGATCAATTCAATGCGTCCTTGATGAATGAAAATATTAATTTCTCTTTTTTTAACTTAATTTTTGAATGGTAGTGAATTATGGTTTCCACAAAAATACTGGGTTGCACAACTGTTTTCAACATTGATAATAATCAGAAATGTTTCTTGAGCAGCAAATCAGAATATTAGAATGATTTCTGAAGATCATGTGACACTGAAGACTGGAGAAATTATGCTGAAAATTCAACTTTGATCACAGAAATAAATTACAGTTTAACATATGTTCACATAGAAAACAGTTGTTTTAAGTAGTAATAATATTTCACAAATTTGACTGTTTTTACTGTAATTTTGATCAAATAAATGCAACCTTAAAGAGCAGAAGAGACTTTTCATAAACATGAAAAAACTCTAATTATTCCAGGCTACAGATATGATGTTCTGAAACGCTGTCTATTTGCATATGTTTTAGAGGTACGTCTGGTGGAAGAAGAGTCTGGATGTGTGGACTAAAGATCAGCCGTTCCCCATCGACATCGAGTACATGATCACAGACACGCTGGAGCTGCTGCGGCCCAAAATGAAGCTGTGCTCGTCTCTGGATGAGGCCTGTGCTCAAGTCACACAGCTGGAGAGAGAGTTCCTCGTCAAACTGGGTAAAACACTCGTCTGATACTGTGTGTGTGTGTGTGTGTGTGCCTGTTTGTGTGTGTGTGTGTGTGTGTGTGTGTGTGTGTCTGTCTGTCTGTCTGTGTGTGTGTGTGTGTGCGTGAGCGTGAGTGCGTGTGTGTGTCTGTCTGTCTGTGTGTGTGTGTGTCTGTTTGTGTGTGTCTGTGTGTGTGTGTGTGTGTGTG